GTTTCAGCCCCCCAGCTTTCCTGGTTGCCGAGTTGAAAGTGGGTGACAAAATGCACTCGTTTTGCGTGCGCACACATACACACACACAGCCTCTCGACAATATGCGTTTTTGCTGGCTGTAGCAGCTGCACAGCAAGAACGCATAAAAACCCCTACTGGTAAGAGGCTACCTGTGTATGTGTCTGTGCTCGCACTTTTGTCACCCACTTTCAACTCGAGAATCAGAAAAGCTAGAAAGCTGAAACTTTGGTATTATGTGTCCACACCATGCGCGACCCTCCCGTTCTAATATCATCGCCGGCCTACGCCTGGGTGCCGCCTACGGACGTCCTAAAGAAATATGCAATTTTCTAGCGGGAAGGCGATCTCGGGAACCAGACTAAGTAAGGGGCTGAAACTACGCAGGAATATCCCTTGTGCATGTGTGAGCTAAACATTTCAAATTTAGCCTTCAAGTATGCGTGGTACTCACGTAAAGGCGTGTGAAAGTTTTGGCGGGAAAATCACTAACTCGGGAACCATAAAAGCTAAAAGGCTGAAATTTTGGGGGAATGTTCCATGCCCAAGTACAACTTAAATATTTCAAATTCACCCTTCAGATAAGCGTAGTTCTCACGTACGAGCGCGTGAAAGATTTGACGGAAGAATTGCTAGCTCGGTAACCAGAAAAACTGGAAGGCTGAAATTTCAGAGTCATGCTTCCTCAACACGTGCACTTAAAGATTTTAAACTCAGCTTTCTGAGTGCCTGGGGTACCCACGTATGGGCACGTGAATGTTTTGGCGAGAAAATTACTAACTCGGGAACCAGAAAAGCTAAGAAGCTGAAATTTTAGGGGGGTGTTCCTTGTCCAAATACAACTTAAATATTCAAAATTCACCCTTCAGATATGCGTGGTTCTCATGTATAGACACTTAAAAATTTTTGCGGGAAAATTGCTCATTGAACAGCTAGGATGCCTTCGAAGAACGACCGTTAATTGGAAATTATACATTTACTTTATGCAAAATTTATGGTGATTTACGTTAGTTATTGCAAAAGGTATGTGTAAAGCAACAATCATTCATGCAGCTAATGGCCTGAGTACTTCAAGTTCGGTGCAACAACGCATGATCGCACGGGCCCGCTCGGTGCGTTCCAGCCTGGGTTACTGCCTCAGTGCTCCAGCACTGTACGACAAAAACGCATAAAAGCACTGCAAGAAATGAAATTACTCACCGGTAATGGATCTGCCAGGCAACAATCCGAACGGAATTACCTTCGGTTCGCTAAGTACCGCGTAGTCATCAACGTCGTAAAGCTTCATCAACGCAGTGCCATTCGTGAAAATCAGTTCGCCTAGTGATTGCTGCGACAGCTGCACTTCTGCAGTATATTCTTGTTGACTGATAAGTCCTGACTAGTTTTATCACCTACTGTTACTCCCAATCGTTAAGAGCTGCAACCTAAGAGTGGCAAAATATAGGCCAAAGTGGTAATGGTCAACTCGCATCAAGGATGTCACGAAACTGCTAAAGTTTTGTCGTCATGAGAACCACTGGAATAATAATTCTTTCAGAAGAAACGAACGTCAGGAGGAGTGCCAGCAGTATGATTAACAGGGGATGCAGCGGTGCTCAAAGCAACTACAGAAACAGAAGGAAATCGTAAATTAACAGCTATCCCAGGTCAACACTTATTAGGCATACTGAGCAACAGCATCATTAAACCGTTTGCATCAACAAGTCAGAACCACCTGTTTCTCTCCAGCTCTGAGTAATTCGTAGCCACTTAACTCGATATGTGGATACTAAAAGGCCCTAAGCGGTAACTTCTCCAATACATTCTCCTACTATATGGGTGTCACTGCAGCAGTTAGCATAAGTTTTCTGTTATCATCACCCTGCGTATAGGACAACAACGTCTTCTACTAAGTTCTACTCTCAAGTAATCGCTGCTGACTAATAAGATCTGCCACAGCAGGACATGACCGCCCACCAGATCAACATCATTTCATACTAACACTACGCGCCTCTTATGCACAGATTCTTGCCGAAACATATTTCGAAACCATTTCCGCACACTGGTCGAAAAGTTCATTAAAAGGTGTCTACAACGGATTTTGGTTTCTCTACAGTGAAAACATTATCACGCTTCACTACCAAAGAAAGATCCTTTCCTTGTTTTGACCGCGCGCGATGTGCTTTCAGAGCATTTGGCTAGCAAATCTAGAGCTTAAACAAACAAGCAAAAGCCCATACAGCAGGCAACTACTAACCTGGTTTATCAATGATCTCGATTTGCAAGGAAACAGTAGCAGTGTTTGCATGTACTCCCGAATAGCCAATTTGCACACGGCAGCAGTTCTCGGTTGGGAAATCTTGAAACAAATAACAAGTACCTTCCACCTCTGCTGTTGAAATCTCCTTCCCGTCCAGTAAATGCAGTGATACCTGAAATTTTCCGCCATATAGTCAATACAGCGATATACTTGAGATCCATTTAGGGATACAGAAATATCTGAAAGCTACTGTTAGCCTTAAGTAATGATAAACGAAGAACACCTTCGACCCGGAAAACAAACACTTCGATCAAATGCTGTTTGGTTGTAGCATTTCTCCCTCGCTATCGATACAACCAAATGTTTCTCAGTTCTCTATCTCCCATCACATCTTGGCGATCGATCAGCCCTTCCTACGGCATTTGCTGTCTTCCTCGTGACCCATTAACATTACGCACGTACCATTCAACGATCGTATCCGTTTATACGTCGTTTCCCATTCTTTCATAAAATCAGACCAAATGCCTTTATAGTATCGCTTACACTAGTTCAAAACGGCAATACTTCACTAGAAGTGTGCTGCAGCTTGCTAAAATCTACCATACATCATTCCTCGGACTGTTAGGCCATTGCTATATTCTCAGCAACCATGGTACTTTATATTTCACTTGACTAAAACAGGCCCAGAAATGCAGTGGAATTGAAAATGTCACTTTCACAGTCGATGTTGCATTTATTGAAAAAGACGTTTCGTAAGAAGCTGAAGGCTATCCATTCCGTTCCTTTCCAACCGCTTAGACCAAATCCAAGTCGTTATTATTCTGTATTGCTTGTCGCAAGCATCGCTCTTCACGAGACCAACGAGTTGTTTCTCCAGTTTCATATTGAACTAGGAACAGTGCCCGTTCTTTATCTACTTTCTTCTTACCTGCGCAAATACGCAGCCCAATTTTTTTAAAAGTCCATTTATTAGGTTCTGTTCGGCAATGCTTATAAGTTTTTTTTTTCTTTTTTGCCATAAGCAGAAAGCCCTCTGTAAAAATAAGCATTTGGAGCACATTGCTACATAATTCTCCAATTATTCTTCCGATATAGACGATTTGGGCCCTTTCTATGCTGCAACAGTTGCGCAGAACGCACATTGTCGAGAGCCTGTATTTACATGTTTGTATCTGTGTGTATGTTCAGGGTGCGTTTTTTCAGGGGTTTTCAAAACGAGAACCAAAAACTAGGAAGCTTAAATTTGGGATGATATTACAGGCCCATTTGAAATACTGAAAAATTAAATTCAGCTTTCACGTACGCCTAGACCTCAGGTGCAAACACCTGGGAATTTGGCGCAAAACTTTCTGCCTTTAAGACGAGGAAGATGGAAGACTGAAAATTTAGTATGATACTTCTGCTCAGAAAACCCTGGAAATTCAAATTCAGCTTTCAAGTACGCTTATGTCTCAAGTGTGGACGCAGACATTCTACATGTGAAATTTTTAGTTCAGGGCAAAGCAGAAAGCTAAAATTACTGGAGGACGCTTTCTGTTCATTTGCTATCCAGCAAATTCAAATTCAGCTCTCACGGGCACCAATGTTTCGCATACGGGCACATGGAATTTTCAGCAAGAAATTTCGTAGCTCGGGAATCAGACAACATTCCGGCTATTTTTGGATACACCAAGCAGTAAAACAGCGAATATGCACGCCGGGCAGAACTGCGCAAAACGTTTGATCGTATCCGCTGCACTGTTGTGCGCCACTATTCATTGGAGGAAAGGCGAGTTTGAACGTGTCATAAAAGTCTGCATACATCATTGTGCATTTTTGCACATTTATGTAAATCGAAAACGCATATGGAATAAATTGTCGATGTGCGCACGCGTATGTGTATGTGTGTGAGTTCGCACTTTTGTCACCTGTTTTCAACTCAACAACCAGTGAAGCTAGGAAGCTGAAACTTGTGGAACATGCTCCCATTCTATATGCGATGCTTCATTTTTAAAATCACCGTTCATGCTAGGTCACACGTACTGATGCCTAAAAAATTTATGCAAATTTTTTCGCGGGAAAAGAATTTCAGAAAACAGACGGGACAGGAAACTAAAACTTCACAGGGATGTTCTGTGCCCTTACATAAGCGAAAAGCTTCAAATTCAGCTCGAACGCACGCGCACATCATATGTAGAACACGCCAAAGTTGTGATTTCTTAAGAACTGGCAAATTGCTAGTTCAGGAACTAGACTGAGTAGGTTCTTTTAACTTTAAGAGAATATTTGCTGTCTAGAGAGCGTAGTTGCGAAATCAGCGTTCGATACTACGCGTTTGGACGTAACAAACTATTTTTAACAAAAAGCGACTTTCGGTGCCAGCTGAACTGGGAAGCTAGAATTTTCTAAGGATATGACGATATGTGTGAGTCCAAGCTATTTCATGACAGCATAAAATCGTGCAAAACGCACGATCACACAGGCAAGCCCTGTGCGCGTCGCAGTTGATTTTTAAATGTGGTAACATACCTTGTACATTCGTTGCAAAACACTTTCCCAACACACCACAAAACTGCTGTCTGTAATTTGAAGCTGTGCGGTGACTGTAGGAGGCACAGGCTCGGCGCTTCCAGTATCATTTACCGGAAGTCGATAAATCGGCGATACAACAATATATGAGCGCCAAAAAAGGCACAGACGAAGCTGCAAGTTAATAAAAAAAAACTACTTGATGCAACGCAAAAAATACATACTGCCGATGTACATGTGTATTTGTGTGTCGTGCGTGTATGTGCTCGGATTTCGTTACCGACTTTCAACCCAGCAGCCAAAGAAGCCGAGGAGCCGAAGTTTTAGAGGATATTCCTAGCCCAAGTGTGACTCCATCAACTTAAATCAACACTCAGATGCCTGAAAGAGAATGTGAAAAGTTTTGGCGGGAAAACGAATTCGAAAACGAGAGAAGATAGGAAGCTGGAATTTCGCAAGATATTCTGTGCCCTTGTGTGAGAAAAAGATTTCATATTCAGCTGTCACGTTCACTCACTTCAGAAGAAGGAACAAGTCGAATTTGAAATCGAAACGTCCTTAGCAAAATGCCAATTCAGAAACCAGGCTGCATAAGGAACTTTCATTTTATGACAATATTTGTTACCCATGTGCAACCCGCTAAGCAATAAATGATCTTTCGTGCGCCTGCTTCAGGCGTATTGATGCATCAAATATCTTCGCAGCAAAGAAGCGATTTACAGAACCAGTCTGCGCAGTCAAAATTTTACGAGAATACTTGTTAGACACGCGCAAATTAAACATGCGCCTTTAAATTTTGCTAGACATGCGTCTTTAAATTCAGCTTTGCGGAGCGTCTAAGTCTCTCGTTAAATGCAAGCTAAATTTTTATTCTGGACGATTTCGGCACCCACTTAACTCTTTAATCAGAGTGAAAAGGAAGCCACATCTTTATGAGGATGTTGACTGCCCATGTGTTAACCCAGCAACTCAGATTTCTCCTTCCGCATGTGCCCCGCGCGCACGCATCAGATGTTCATATTACAAGACATTTGCCACGCCTCAGTCTCGGTAATTAGACAAGCAAGAAAGCACAAATTTTACAAGAATGCTGGTAAGGGCATAACATCATAGTTACAATGTCATCTATAAGCTATGTTGATTTGTTCCAATATTCCACTCACTAGGCATTAATATATATAGTTGGCGGTTAGTTTCGTGTGGCTGTTCTTAATTTGTAACGAAGGTTTAATATCCCAGTAACTAAAGGTAGTTGGGCGATTTTGAGCGTCACACTCAATTAGTGACGTTCGGCCAATGTGTCGTCCTTAACAACACTATATGGCGTTATTATTATAAATTCTTCTGAAGTGAAGACTATTCAGCATTATCGCGGTAAGTCAATAAAAGATTACGATACCATCGAGCATGCCCACCACTTCTAATACAGTCCAAGTGCTTGCTTTCCTTCCCACTGATACACTATGATGAAAAACATCCGATGGTTGGTGACTCAAAGATTGCTCAAAGTTGCGTAATGTAAATTTCTAGCATTTTAAGCAATATTTTAAAAGTCACCTCGATTTCATGGGCAAAAACCAATGGTACGATAACGACTGCTTTCAGTGTTTCCTCCTTGAATGTCTGCAACACAACTTTCAGATATACGAGTGCGATTTGTAAATCGTGAAACATATGACGCTGCCGGTTACACATATAAAATAATTGGCCAACGCACGGCTGCCCGTGCGAAGATGCGTTTTTTGCACAATTCTCCGCAGACTTTAGTCGCTAACGGCACTGTTTTTTTTTCGGCAGATGCTTCTAGCTGAAAAAAATTTCAGACTGGCCGCCAGGACTGTCAGGGCGCATCTTTTTAAAATTCCAGTCTTCTAGCTTCTCAGGTTCCCGAGTTAGCAACCTACCCGAAAAAACTGTCACGGGCCCGTACGTGGGTATTACGCATACTAGGAGGCTGGGTTTCAGCTCATTAATACCTACGTTGATGAGAAACGTCCTTTTAGAATTTGAGCTTTCCAGCATTTCTGGTTCCCAAGTTAGCAGCTCATCCGTAAAAAACTTTGGCGGACCCGTACGTGGGTACTACGCGGGTAAGGCCGTCCATCTTGGGGACTGGGGACCGTACGTGCATGTAGATTAACTTTCCAAAGTTTCAGCCCTCTAACTTTTATAGGCCTTGAGGTGAAAAATCGGCACAGACGTACACACAGATACACAGACACACACACAGACAACCCCTCGTCAATATACGTTTTCTGCATTGCACATATGCAAAAAACGCATAAAAATGATGCTGAATATAGGAGAGCTAAATGCCTTCCCTAGTTACAAGAACGGTTCCGGAAGGAAAAAAACGAAGTTTTGTCCTCAGTTCCCATATGTTTTATATAAAGCAGATCAATTTGTCATACTTATCTTAAAAGTATTGCTTCTCAAAAAAACTCAGGCAACCACTTTTTAACAACAGCAGAAATAAATCCAAACTGGAATGCCCAGGCTTGTCGGAGCGATCATGTGTTTTTTCACCAGACTTGAAGTAAATAGGTCGTTAATTGCATGAATGGCTGCTACTTTACACTTACCCTGTGCGCGCACTAGCGTAAATCATAGTCAATTCTGCATAAAGGATTTGAAGAATTTCCGTTCAACGATCGTTCTTTGAAAATGACTTAACTGTTCAGTGAGCTATTTTAAGTGCCCATATTTAAGGGTGGATTTACTTTGAGGCTGGATTTAAAAACTTTAAGTTGCACTTGGAAAGGAAACTTCCCCTAAAATTTCATTCTTCTAGCTTTACTGGTTCCCGAATTAACAATTTTTCTGCCAAATTTTTCACATGCTCGTACGTGAGTACCACGCGTGTCTGAGAGTTGAATTTGAAATCTCTAAGTTGTATGTGGACGGGGAACATATCCTCAAAATTTCAGCCTCCCAACTTTTCTGGTTGCCGAGTTAGGAATTTTCCCGCCAAGATATTCACGTACCCGTACGTGGGAACCGCGCATATCTAGGAGCTGAATTTGAAATCTTCAGCCCACATATGCACAGAGAGCATCCTTGCAAAGTTTCAGCTCTCTATTTTGTCTGGTTCCCGAAATCGCTTTCGTGCCGAAAAATTTGCATATTTCTTTGAGGCGCCCGTATGCGGTGCCAAGGCCTACGCGAATAATAATATAATTAAAACGGGAGCTTCACACAGGCGGTAGGTATATACTCTTGAAGTTTCAGCTTTCCAGCTTTTCTAGTTCTCAAGTTGAAAGTGGGTGCGAACACACAGACACAGGCAGATAGACACAAACAGAGACAGTCTCTTGCCGCATAAAAAATTGAAAGTTAAAAACACCAGGAAAAGAGCTGAGGCCTGCAGAAGAATCAGACTTTACAGTGACTTTTAATCTTTATAAAGAACTACGTCTTGAAATCATGCCTCGAATCACTGGCTTTAAAATCTGTAATTCATCAAGGGAAAAGCTGTAAACTTTTACAGTTAGGGAGTCAAAAACTGAGACGAAAATCAGTATGAAGAGAACGCTTTCAGTCAGAAAATGTCGAAAATAACTCAGAGCTGGTAAAGGGTGGCAGCAAAACGAGTCTAAATCCAAGCATTTAAATGACTGAAGAACGACAGAGAATCAATTTTTTGCTTCGGAAAGCTATTTCCACCAAGAAGCCTTGAATATGAATGATGAGCTCTTTCGAAGCTTGAGTAAATGTAACTCAGGCTAAAACGCACCGGGCGGGCGCGTGCGATCATGCGTTTTTGCACCGGACTTGAATTACTCAGGTCATTAACTG